GAAAGATGTAAAGACAATGTATTTTTAACATACTTATAGTATGATGATATTCATATATTTTTAGGATGAAAATTCAAAAAAAAAAATTATATATATATTTATATATATCACGCATATTCCATTTTTGTTATCCGGCACAGTGCCTCTTCGGCCTCCTAGAATTTTCCTACAAACATAAAAAATATAATTCCTACTTTGTATAAAAAAGATAAAAATATCTTTGTATTTAACGACATTTCAACGATTTTGTTGACGAAAGACTAAAAATTGTCATGCTACAATAATATTAAGACAAATTGAGCATGTTTAGATAAAAAAGAATTAAAAGTAGACTGTCACTTCTAAATGTAGTACCAAAAATGAAATTAACTCTTATTATTACTAAAAGCTTAGAAAATATAACTAACTTGGTTCGCGTGAGTGGTCATGCACTCTCATCTCTTAAGAGAGGTCGGGAGTTCGATCCATTTTCGTATGGAAAAACTAATATGGCTAGCACTACGGACTTAAAGGTGCATCCTACAGTTAGGACCTGCTCAGGACACAATGTGGCTTGACTTATTTTGCAATAAGTAACAACGTAAGTTTAAATAATAAATAGTTAACGGAATTTTTTGTTATTTAAGTTTGTACATAAATAAAAATTTTAAAAGTGAAAGATGGTAACTTTAGAAATGTCTTATTATTGTAGAAAGAATAAATCAAATTATAAAAGTTATTAATTTACATTATTACACCAACATTAGATAGAAATAATTACATGCATGTACTCCATAATAATAAGAGTATTCTATCATCAAAGCGTGATGATGATCTTTAATTAAATTACGTTTTTGCTACTAACTATAACTTTTGACGTAACGGTAAGTTCTTGTTTCACACAATAATAAAAATAAATTCCTTAATTGTTATATTAATTAAACTTAGTTGAAGTTATAAGAACTTAATAACCCTGGGATATAGATTATTCGAACCTCACAATGTGATGTATTATATAGTCCTTTGTTGAAATGAAAATAAATCTTATTTTGTCCATTTTAAAAAATAAATGGATTAAGCTTAAAGCTTTAAAAAATGGTAACATTTATATAAATAAGTAAAAATTTGAATAGCTTTCAAAAAAAGTAAAAATTTGAATGCGTAAATCATTTGTATTTACCGAAAATAATATGTATTACGCTTCTTGATTAAGAAAGATGCCTATACATACAGCTTCTATGAAGTATTGATGCGTATTTAAACTATAAAACGTAGGTTTCCATGCAAGTTTATTCCAAACTGTGAAACTGATGCATGAAATTCTTTTCATATTTATAAAAATGTCACCGCTCTTTTAATGTAAAACTTTTACCAAAACGGTACTGTTTTTTTTTTTTTTTTTTTTTTTTCACAAAAACGATGTTTTTATATAAAATTGTTATGTTTTTTTCCCAGATGTTGCAAGTTTTTTTTTTTAAACAAAAAATTATACTTCCAATATTTTCTAAAATGCTTTTGTTTTTCTACCAAATGATATAATTCTAAACATTTACAAAAATGTCATAATATTTTGTTTATTCAAGTATACATCTAATCCATCCACTGTTTTGTGATGGACGAATTGAAAGATATTTTTTTATTAAATTTTTTAGTTAAAATAGCAATTTTAAGTGGTTATTTTGTAATACAGATACTAGACATACTTTCAATTTGGGTTGGATTGGGTCAAAGTCTATATATATAAATTTTTCTTTTATAATGCAATTGTGTGCGACACAGTACAAGTACAAATGATTGAAAACTCATCATTTATCTACTCCACCTTCACCCTTGTATACTTATATAGCTATCCATGCACAATTATAACTACCATAGTACCATCATTATTATATGTGTTCGTCCACTTTTTTTTTTTTTTTTTTTTTTTTTTTTTTTTTTTTTTCTTGAAAAAGCACCCATTAACTTATCACCACACACTATCTTATCTATTTCCTTTATTTATACACCAATATAATATAACCTACTTTCAACTGTCCAAAAAAAATTCGAAATTTAGAGTTTTAAACTTTTAAATGATACTCATTTTCTTGCACCGACCTATGTAGCATCCATATTCATATTTTTAAAAGATAAATATGGCATGCTATGATTTGTTTCAACTTTTATATATATATATATATATATATATATATATATATATATATATATATATATATATATATATGCACTCTGGTGCAAATGGAGCGTCCAGGTGCAAATATGCCTGATATCTGTTCACGTGTCCAGATCTAATGGATGAGAAACACTGATTTTTTAAAAAAAATGCGGTGGCATTTTTGTAAATAATTGAACATCGAAGTGCAAGTAAAATGTATTACAAGTGCATGTAAAATGTATTATAGGTGCAAGTAAAATTTGCACTGAGCATCAATACTAAGTGCACCTATAGTTATAAGAGGAAATTTTAATTTTGGTCATATGACTATAGGGGCCTTGCTATTTTAGTCCCTGATTTTTAAAAGTATCAATTTAGTACCTTAACTATGTAATTTTTGTCAATTTTAGTCACTCCGGCCAAATTGCCGGCCAAATTTCGTCAGAAACTTTTAATAGTTAAAATAATGAGGGTATTTTGATCGTTTCACGCCTCTTTTCTTTTTCTCCGGCGAGTCCATCTCTTTCTCTCCCGTTTCCGGCGTTCTTTCTCCCTCTAAAGCCTATTTTTAATATCATCAAGCCTCCATTCCCCATTGTCTTAGTTCATTGCATTCACCAGAAACGGGAGAGGAAGGGATGGACTCGCCTGGGAAGAAGAAAAGATACGTGAAATGATCAAAATATTCTCATTATTTTAACAATTAAAATTTTCCGGCAAAATTTGACTGGCAATTTAGCCGGAGTGATCAAAATTGACAAAAATTACATAGTTAAGGTACTAAATTGACACTTTTAAAAGTCAAGGGTTGAAATTAACAAGACCTCTATAGTCATATGACCAAAATTGAAATTTCCGCTAGTTATAAGTAGTTGCACAAATAGTTATAAGTAATTGCGTGCACCTAGGTGCATGAATGTTTGCGAGTGGTTTCACGGGTACTACTACCCGCTGAACTCCCTACAAGAACAAAAACGTTGCCAAACAGAACGAACTCAGATCAATAAATGTTAACAAGGCAAAATTACATGCACTTGCAGGCGAAAGTACGTGCACTTGTATGTGAAAGTAGGTCCAACCGATCAATGAATGCAGGCAAAAATTATATGCACTTTTGCAGGCGAAAGTAGGTGCATTTATATATAGGTGAAAGTAGGTGCACTCGATCAATGAATACTGACACGTGGCGCGCGCTGATTGGTTCGTATTTCACACCTGGGCGTACATTGCACCAGAACGTGACTATATATATATATATATATATATATATATATATATATATATATATATATATATATATATCGTTCGCTTTTTTTGTTTTTTTTTTTTTTTTTTTTTTTTTGGTTTAATTTCCAACAATTTTTGCAAGTTTTGATCGAAACACTTTTTTTTTTTTTTTTTGAAAGACAAAACCCAACTAGTTAATCACTATTTGACTATTGAATTGTATTTACGGTTTGTAAAAGAAATGATAAAATTAATTGTTTATTATTATCAATTAATGTGTAAAAAAAAAATATAAGTACATTTGTACAAGTGTACAACAACAACAATATATAATAAAATACTAATTCAAAGACTTCAAGTCAAAGATTGTTGGCGACAAAGATAGTTAGCCACATGAAGTTTTACAATGTCAGGAACTCAAATAATCATTAACTTAATTAAGTACCTTTATTAATACATGTATTTTTTTTAATCGAGGGTGTGCATTTTGGATAAACCGTAACTCACTTCACTGTAATAACTCATAATTATACTAGAGAGCTAAACTACATTAAGAAAATCATGATATTTTAGTACAAGAATCATGTTTCATCCATTCAATTAACCATTTTAGACTTAATATATACAAATATTTTTCTATTATCACCGGACTAGCAATATATATTCGTGTCTGATCTCGTGACCATAACTGTTTTGTTTGATATTTTTATTGTTAAACTTCTTTTCTATTGAGCCCAAGATCGACCTTGTAGTAAAGTGATACAGATTTTTTACTTAAGGTTAAAATGTCAAATATTCTTCATTCTTGTATAAAAAAGTTTCTTTTCTTTTTTTTTTTTGAGAAAAAAAAAATTTCTTTTATGTATTGAAAAAATTAATTGTTATGTGATTACAAATTAGGCTTATTATGTATAGTGAACGGAGATAAATAATTTTTAATTTTTTTTTTATATATACTTCAAGAGATCCATTTTGATTTTCGCTTGAAGAGTTACAAAAATTTTTCTAATTAGAAAGACCAAGAAATTGGGGAGTATAGCAAGTTTACTATGTGACCAAGGAATTACCTATTAATTAACTATATATCCTTAATCCAAATTACATTTCTTAGACCGACCATATGTTTGTTTTCTTTGTGTACATTATTTTACTACCAACTATATCTTACTACGTAGTCATTTCTCTTAATTACATTAATGAATGGATTTTTTGGAATTTTCTTTGAAACTTAAAGTGGATTTTTTCATAATTAATGTTGGCGTGCATATATAAGACTCCTCTACCTATTCTAAAACATCAAATTAACTGCCTTAAACAACAATACAACGTAACATCCTTAGCTTAATCTTTCTTCTCCATCTATATATGTGAGAACATGATGTATATATGTTAGTCAATATATTTGTGACTTCATTATGACTAAAATGAACATGACCAAAGCGGAAGAATCTATGTAAATATATAGAAACTCAGTTGAACACAAAGGCTAGTGAATCATTGTTCCTATTTCCCAAGCTCTCATGTGACCAACTGAGCTGCTCATGCGTCATAATTTTTTATTTATAAATTTATAATGTATCACAACCATTTTTAGTAACTTATTGTAATTGGTACCACTAATTAACAACAACACACAAGATTGATATCAATATTTTCATGCTTAAAAGCCCTCCACAAGAGGAATAATAATGTCCACGTACACGATAGATCACGCATATATATTATAAAACCAAAGTTCTTTAACACAGTCTGCAGCCAGCAGAGAAACACAACATCATCAGCTAGCTTAGCTAGTAAGTAGAGCTTAGGTAGTAGTGGATATAGATTTGAAAAAATTAAGGTAGTAAAACGTTGCAACCAATAACGGCTGTGATTTCTCATCATCAATTTGGCAATGGCAGTGGTCGGAAACCATGGCTGAGGGCAGCTTCCCAAACCTTGTCAATGTCACACATCTTCTCCCCACACTCGTGCACGTTCCACCCCTCTAAAGCGTGCACGATCCCGCTCACCCGCGCGGCGCTCATCGCCCTCCTAGGTAGCCAATTCTGCCCACACATAATCAAGTCTCGTTAACCGAATCAAAAATACAAAATAGGATTAAAAATGGTATTATAAAATCTCAATAATCGAATTAGAAACATAAAGTAGGGTAAAAACAATGTCATAACTCATAAATTCTCGTTAGCCGAACCAGAAATGTAAAATGAGGTGAAAGGGCACTGCTGGAAATTATAGAATTTCCGACCACTAAAAGTGATCTTATATTAGTCGAAAGCAAAAAGTGTTCGGAAATAGCAACAAAGGTTTTTCCGGATACCAAAAGTGGTCGGAACAAGATTTTCGACTTGATTTGATCATTTTCAGGTGGTCGAAATTTTTATAATTTTCAGCGGTGGGTACCGTAAAGTCTCATTAACTGAATCAGAAATGTAAAGTGGGGTGAAAAGAGTATCATAAAGTCTCGTTAATCGAACAAGAAATGTAAAATGGAGTGAAAAGGTATGGTAAATACCTCACAGGCGTGCAGGTTGTGGAGGGAAGGCGGTGCCAGCATCGCCGGCGGGTGGTGGTAGGAGCAGTCACGGCGGTGTTTCTTGGGAGGGATTTGAGACATGGGAATGAACAATGTTCCTTTTGTCGCTTTCATTTGTTCTTCTTTCGTTAATCCTTCTCCGACCAACCAAACCTGTCCTTGTTTAATGTTTCCATCATTAGTTAAACCGATTAACACTAATTAATAATAAACTAATTACCATATCTAATTATTGCTTAATTACCTTCTGGGTGAAACTCCTTGACAGCACAAAGTTACCTTTTGAGTTAGTGGCAAGCTTAAGCTTCTCGTAGTCATCTTCACACGAGGTAACAACCTGGAAACGTTAACATAACCAAATCAAATGAGTAATTTAGTTATTTAAGGATTTTAATTAGGATATATTTTAAGGTATTTGATTATATTATTGATTAATTACCTTGATGCCTCTTTGGGTTAATGCAGAGGCAATGGAGATGGAGACTTTGTTGAGGTTGGCTCTAAGGAGAACCTCAGTGGTTCCCTTTGGAATTGTGTTGGCCACTATTATTGCAACCGCCAAGCTACTTCCATCCACCAATTTTATTTTCATTTTTGGGTATTTCTGGATGTAAAACTCCCCGTTTCTATTTAGTTCCTCACTCTGAAACAAATGATATTATGATTAGTCTGATCAAAAGGTCTATAATCAAGTGCGAACTGACCTTAACATACAAAACCACGAATTCCTGAAGAATTACACCACACTGTTTACATAATTAGACATACAGCAAGGTCATCTAGGCATGTCTGGGAGCCGTAACAGTGCAATCATATAGTAGAGATTATGCAATCTTTATTAAAAATTTGTTGGCTAAGGTTGGTTCGCACCTGATTATGATTATGAAGTTGGTTGGTTTAGTGTTAAATAATTAACTTAATTACCTGGTTGAGAAGACCCAAGCTTAAAACCTTGACACCTTTACCTTCAGCCTCTATTATGGCCTCTTCAATCAGGCTATTGATGGCTTGTGATTGCCATTCCAGCAGGTACTAAAGATCGATAAACACATAATAACGATAAACATAAACTAGAATTGAAGAAAATAATCAAAAACAAAAACAACCCAGAAACGTTACTCATCATACCTGAACCTTGTACCTGGGTATAACCCAAGATTGTAACTTGATTTTTTCCAAAATGTTCCTGTCCAAGATGAAAGTTTGGCCATAGATGCAGTTGATGATCATGGTCCATAATGTGACAGGCCACATCAACCAAACGTACCAATTATGGCTTTGTGGCACTGCGGCCCAAGTCGAGAACCCAAGCCTTATAGAGTATACAGACTCTGGGGTGGTCAAATGTGTGAGATGCACCACATCTGGAGACTCTTCTCCTCTCTTTAGAGATGTTTCATACAACGTGTCAGTCGACTTGTCCATTGTCCCATAAATATAGTCATAAAACGGCATAAAAAGTGAATAATTGGTCCGAAACTGAGTGTGATGTAATGAATGGTACCTATCCATACAACAACCATATTAGCCCATCACTTTTGACAAAGGTAGATAGAGTTGCACAATGGGCAAAAAGACTAAAGAAAAAAAGAAAAAATTATACCAAAATGGTATAGATGAATAGTATTGCAGAATAATTTCACTATTCGTCTACACTATTTCGGTGTCACCTTTCGTGGCGTTTTGGTGTCTTAATTGGAGATGGTTTGATAGATATAGGGGGACTTACGATGGGGTATACATCAAATATTTGAGAGGAGGGAAGATGGAGAAGAGCCATTTAGGTATGAACTCGAAGTTGCAGTGTCCCATGTTGTTCATAAGATCGATGTAAGTAACGTAGCCAAGAAGGCTGCTGTTGGAGGCAGTTCCGGTGAACAACGTTGTCAGCACTGGGATCGCGAACAACAAGAAATACGCAATGTGTTCTCCGAACGGATGAATCACGGCTGTCGGGAATATTATATATAAATCAAAAAAATGATTAAAAATAAGATTAGATTCCGATCTCCATAAATATAATATTCCAAATCATGGTAACTTAGGTAAGCAAGAACTTGGAATTTCTTGTCCCCACAAATCATCGTGACTTAGCTGTTCATTAATTGAGATAATCAGTATCGGGTGTCACAAGGAGTCAGCCCACAGGAGGATTAAACTCTTATACTGGATAATGAGTGTCGGTTGTCACAAGGAGTCACCTCATAGGAGGATTAAACTCTTATACTGTGGCTCAGTTCAGTTGTCTTTTAAATGAGAGGATCGTGTCAAATAAGAAGTTAAAACTCCTACACATAAACTGTCAGAACTCGATATTGCGTTCTGGTCTAAAATGGAGAGAGAGAGATGAAAGGATGACGTTACAGGTGATGGGCTCGGTGACGATGGAGGAGTGGTGGTGGGAGTGGTAGCGGGAGTAGAGAAAGTGGTGGTGCAACGCCCTGTGCAGCCAATAGTAGATGAACTCCACCGGGCCGACGTGTATGGCCACCGTCATCAACACGCCGTCCGTCCGCCACGCCGGCAGCCGCGACCCCTTCGCCAGTACAGTGTTGAACAAATAAAACAACAGCCCGTTCAACACCACCTGATCATCCCTGCACCCAAACACCTCTCAATCAGATCAAGATTAATCCTTCTTATATATTCTAGCTCCACGAGAAAAAGAAAAAGACGGCCATTAATTACCAGTTACTTTCCCGATCAACCTGCTCAAACTCGATGGGTTTATCGACGATCCGGTTCTTCCCATTCGCCGTCCGGTGCCGGGAATAGCTGATCCACAGCTGATTATGCAACATCCGGGAGAGGAGGAAAGGGAGAATCAAGAAATTTGTGTAATCCCTTTCGCTCTCCTCACTCGTAACAAAACTATACAGGCTGTGCGCCACCCATGGCGACAGAACAACATACTTTTACCCAGAAAACAAAATGTTAGAGCGAGAAAATGCATGCATGATATACGATATATGGAATCGAAGAAGAAAGAGCGAGTAACCTTAAAGTTTCCGAGGGGTTTCCATGGCCAATCAGTGAGGAAGCCGGGAGTGGTGGCCATATTGTGTGTGTTTTTGTGTGATTACGAGAAATGGTTGGGGGGTTAGAGCATAGATTTATAGGAGACGTTGGAGAAATATTGGTAGCTAGGGATCATGGACTTGGTGCTTCCTGAGAAATCGTTCTGTAGATCTCGTGCATTGTCGTTATATTAACAGAAATTTCATAATAATAATAATAATAATAATAATAATAATAATAATAATAATAATAATAATAATAATAATAATAATGTGTATTTTTAGATCAAATAAAATTTGAAAATTTATGCCTAAAATTAGGAGGAAGTGGTAATTCTGTAAATAAGCAAATTTTGAATGAATAAAGGGAAACTAAATTTTTTTTATCCCTCTCTATCTACCATTTTCACTTTTTGTCCCTTAATTGTTTGCAAAATGATTTATTTTATTTCCTAATTGTCTACAAAGTATGAATTATTGTTTTTAAAACTTTTTTTTTTTTTTGAATGCTATTGGCATTGTAGTATCTGTTCACAACCTACTGAAACAATTAGAACCAACCAATAATGCCCTCAGAGGTTCGAACTTACAACCTTTTAAATAAAAATTCAACCTAAGTACCATTAGACTACATAGTTTTAATGTTTTTAAAACTTAATTAATTCTAATAGAACTTAAATTTTTTTTAAAATTATTAGTTCGAAGATAATTAAGGGACAACAGGGCTCTGTTTGGCCGAGCTTATAGTTTATTTAATGTTTTAAAAAATAAGCTAGTAGCTTTAAAAATTTATGACATCTTTTACCCATCCCAATTAAACCCCACCCGATTGTTACAAAATGAGCCTCATGAGGTTATTTATACTTATTCCACCTCATCAATGAATGGTGGAGATCTACTTGATCGTATGACTATGAGTTCTATAAGATTCTATAAATCTCTACTCTTCTTTTATATATATACTTGCTAAAATGTCATAGTTTAGTGTGGAGACTCAAATTGATGTTATTATGGCCACATTTGCACTACATAATTATATTCGGAAGAATTCACAATATGACATGATGTTTAATTTGCTTGAGCAGCATCTAGATTACATACTGCCAATGAACTTCAAGATTCAAATAGTAATATCTCTATCAATGAAAATTTAAATGATACCTCTATTGAAATGAATAAGATTCGCAACAATATTGATACTTCATTATGGGATGCTAGATCATGATTATGCTAATGGCTTCATTTCAAAATGTTAAACAATGTACCACATTCTTTATTATTTAAAAAATGTACATTCTTTATTATTTTTAATATCCCACATCGTTACTATCAACATTATAGACCCTCCCCCCTCTCCAACCCCCCCCCCCCCCCCCTACCCCCTCACACACATTTATATATATACATGTATGTATCACGCACGCATATTGTACATCGTATATATGCATACACTCCGTACGTTAAGTGATGCTATTATTACACTTGTGACTTGTCCTTCTCCTCCATCTCCTTTATAGCCAAACACAAGAGTAAATCTTCCAGTTTTAACAGCAACCTTTTCGTTCTTCCATCCCGGCCTTCTCAGAAGACCTTGCATCAACACAAACGTCAACGTCAAAAGATTAAAGTTGGTACACAACCACCATTTATAATGGTATATATACTAATTAATTAAACTAGTATCTAAGGTTGTTGTAACATAATGTCTAACTTGACCAGAGTATAAGGTGCAGTTAGATTGACTTATTGGCCATTTTGGTTTATGAGCTGGTCAGCCATGGAAAAATTTGAATTGATTTACCTCTTTGTGATCTTCTGTCATCGAGTCAGAGGATTTTTTTGAGTGGTGAGAGAAAGCCCGTAGCTACTACCTGGTGGTACATTGAGAAAATCCTGTCTTGTTACTCTAGTCGACAAAAGACTACAAGAAGGTAAACTAATCTAGGTTGTCCATAGCAGATTGGCTCAAACTAAGAAAGCCAATAGATCGCTTATCCTGACAAGATAAAGTTTTATTCAATTCAAATTCTCAAGATAATTTTACGAATTTTTCTCATCACCTAAAAAGAACTTATGGTATGCATCTCTGTTTCCCGAAACTAAATGGTGAACAGTAAAGTTACATGCAATGATGGGTAACTATACATGCACAAGGAACTAGCCTTAATTTGTGTTAGGTTTTTTATGGGTTTGAAATTGTTGAACCGAAACTGGTGGTGAACCTAAACTGAGAAGCTTACCAAATGTAGCAATTAAGACGACCAAATTGAATAAAATAATTAACGTTAATAGTGATAATTAGACACTAGTTGATGAGCTGTATAGTTCATTAATGTATATTTAATATTTGTTGGTTTTGGACTTTTGGTACACTAGTTTCTCACATACACCGAGATCAATTATGCTTGTGTAAGTAAAAACAATAAAGCACTGCATCATGAAATTTTAAGGTGATTGTATTTTCAAAATTTAAACCGGAGACTTCTCATTTTATTAAGATGCCCACTATGAATATCAACCACTTAATTATCATTTTTTAAAAAATAATAATATTTAAATTACTTAAATATAATAAAATAATAAAATTCATTTTTTTAATGTTAGTGACTCTATTACATTGTAGTATCTGTTCAAACATACTTTCTCAACCTATTGAAACACAAAGAGTCAAAAATGCCGGTTCAATATGATGACATCCCATATGAGAGAGGTCACTACATGCCATATGAGCACAAGGTGCTTGGCAAATAATAAAATTCATTAGTTATACTAAAACATAAAATAATAGAAATACTTAAATATAATAACTAAATTCTTAACTTTAAAAAATAAAATTAATAATTTTGATGATGTAAAAATAGTAAAAAGTTACACGAAGTTATATAAACTTAAATAAATAAATAAATACTAGTACTTATTTTACTATTATATATATATATATATATATATATATATATATATATATATATATATATATAATTTGGATCATATGCGAATGAAGTGTTTAGGTAAAAAAAAAATAGGAATAAATCTCAACCATCAATATAGTCAAAATCAACTGTCCAGAATCCAGATTGAAGATTAACTAAAAAATTTACGGTGGCATTATTGTAATTTTGAGTAAGTCAAATTGTCTTTGTATTCGAGTGCACATTTTTCTTCTTTGAGTACGCATGTTTCATTCTTCAAGTGCATATTTCTCTTCTTTGAGTGTATCTGTTTTGTTTCAGTACATAGTTTCTCCTTTGAGTACACATCTTTGTGTCTTTGAGTGTAAAAATTTGGCCTCAAAGGGTACGTTTTGTAGCATTCAAGTGCATGTTTTCATTTCTAATAGTGCACAATACAATTAATTTTCTTCAAATTTTTCTTTTTAGTCTTTTTTTTCCTTGCCTTATAGTGATCCTGTTTTTTTTTTTTGAAACCTATAGTGATCCTCTTTATGCCTTCAAGTGCTCAATTTCATGCCTACAAGAGCATGTGTGTCTTACTATTGTGTAAAAAAAAAAAAAAAAAAAAAAAAAAAAAAAAAAAACTACTTAAAATTCCATTATTGATTTTTTTTTCCTGCTAGTGCATGTTTTTGGCATTAAGTGCGTGTTTTGTAGCATTCAAGTGCATGTTTTCATTTATAAGAGTGGACAAATTAATTTTTTTCAAATTTTTTCTTTTAGTACCTTTTTTTTGTCTACTTGCCTTCTAGTGATCCTCTTTATGCCTTCAAGTGCTCAACTTCATGCCTGCAAGTATATGTGTATCTTACTATTGTGTAAAACAAAATTAAAAAAAAAAAAATTAGCATTCCAGATTTCCAGTGAACCCTATTTTTCCTTCTAGTGTATGTTTTTAGCTTTCAAGTGCACGTTTTGTAGCTTTCAAATGTCCATTCTGGGACAGTATTTATTATATTTTTTGCATTCTTTTCAATAACATATAACTAAATTTCTAATAAAATTTATGCATATTTTTTATCTGGAGAGTCATTCGCACATGATCCTAGACCTATATATATATACACACACATATATGGTGAGTAAGGTGAAATTTAGGCGGGTTTTATACATACTACCTGAATCCAATCTGACCCGCTACGAATATATTTTTTAAAACTCATTCGACCCACCAACCACTATCACCCAAAATATTTGACCCATACAAGGTGAATATTCACAAGCCGGATTAAAATTGCTATCCCCACCGTATCCTCTCATTCCACGTCATGACATTTAATGTATAATTAATTATCACATGAGAAGCCATCATTTGAAAGTGCCATCTACTCCTGTTCGGAACTTAGCTGAAAACAGAAAAATTCTGCGTTTAATGAAGATGCCTACTAGAAAGACATGCTTGGGTATTCTTGTTCTAGCACGTTCCATCACGAGAAAGATGATTCTCGTCTTCCAAAATCCAGTACATTTGCAGGGAGACGTATTGGTAAATAATCGGATCATACCATGGATCATAATGAATAGCCGGATTTTAGGGCGTGCAAGATGGGAAACAGCATAAGGCCTCAATATTTATTTTTGACCTAACTACTTCAGAAATAAAAATAAAAAATAAAAAAAAAATAAAAAGCTAGGTTCGACAAAATCACTGTACTATCAAATCATCCATTATATTACTAATAATGCTAAATTGGAACATGCAGCTAATAACAATGGTGCCGCTTGTAACAATTTTGTCGTGAATATTGCGTCAAACTATAAAATAATTTTGTAACATTTCTAGGTTGTTTAACAACGTCTGATTTTAATGCTTAGGTTCAACTTTAGTCAATAATAATAATAATAATTATTATTATTATTATTATAACATTTTTTGTTTTACTTTAGTGAAAAAAAATTCGTCACATATGATCTTTTTAATACTGTTTAATATGTGATTTATAAGTTATTACATAAGACTACTGTTTACCTAGTGCACACTCTTGGTTAGTAGTTGCGGGTTTTCCTTATCAAATAATAAAAAAGCATAAATATTTTTTAGGAGAAATTAAAAGCTCACAATCCATATGAAATCCATCTTGTGATCGTAACAGGCAAATGACAACACAGAGATAAAGCAGCCTAAGTTGACCATCTTAAATTAAGAATACAAATAAACAATTCTCACATGAAATTAAAGTTGAAATATTGTGATTGTCAAACTAA